AACCACCACTACTAGAGGGCGAAAAAATAAATACGACTCGCTTCAGTGAGCAAGCACGACCCTTATCCCTGTTACAACGTCCGTGAAGCGAGAAAAATCAACTATCAAAATAAATTTTCCTCAGCCCAAATACGACCCCCCCTCTCCTGGCGGCCAAATACGACCCTCCCTGTTGGGGATTCCCCAACAACGATGTGCCCTGGGCTAACCGTTAGGCAAATGGTCTGGCTGCCATTATCGCAAGCTCCATCAATACTTCAACATTCATCATTCCATATAAATAGAGTAGGGTTTCCTCAGGGGGGGGGGAGGGTGCCGCGCTCGCATTTTGAAAGTGTTGATCTGTTGAATTTTCCAGGTTTTACCGTTTAACGTTTGGAATATAGCCCAATCGAAGACAACTTGAGGAGAAATTGGAAAGTCTTCGCTAACAAAACTCCGAAAAAGTGGAACGAAGTCAGAAGAACTCACGAAGATGGTAGGTAGTATGGGGGAAGTGGCTCGTGGAATTAGGAAATTCTGAAAGGAGACTATTTTGCAAAATTTTTCTCCAGCGGCAGGACGCATCCTGGTTCCACGCGTTGGAAGCTTAGTGGGGTCGCGTTTTTGTAATTATTGGGAGGAGTCGTATTCCGGGAAAATATTTTTTCCGTAATGAAACCGTAGGCATTCCCTGATGCCGTGTTATTTTTACAGAGACCAATTCTAGCAAAACAGTCCTGATGTGATCTCAGCTCTGCTTTTTTCTCACCGAATGAAGTCTTAAGGCTTCTCATCGTAACCGAGCGCTTCCCTCACCGTTTGGGGTAACCTAGGTAAGTCGTCAAAGTTTTTCGAAGCTTCTTTTGACACTTGTTCATTAGTCTCCGAACTTGTACTTGTTTCGGTAGCCTTGAGGCGATTAGTTATCTCTTTTTATGAGATTGGCACGTGGGTATGGGATATGTGCCACATTTCGCGAGGAAAAGGCGAACTTTATGGGGCTATGGGAAAGGAGCAAAATGTTCACATAATAAAGGATTTATTGCATTAGTAAGCTAGCTAGGGTTCAAAACTTCCGTTGATAGATTCGCTTGGTTATCAGGCTTGACAGCTAAACGTCGCCATTGTCAGATGTTACAGAATTACCGCATTACGCGCCGCTCCCGTCGTAACCAAATCGGCGCTTACCAGTTGATTAGACTGGATTTGTCGTCGGGAATGCTGGTGTTGAAAGAGAGTTCCTCTAGATCTCTCCCACTATCTCATCGATGACAACCACATTAACTTTCCCACCCACTCTGTTCTAGCTAGTCAGCATATGATTTATTGCCTTTTCTCAGTATAAAGCTTCCCGATTAGTTGGGAATCAGCACCAATCGTCTTCCTCTCACATCATCCAGAGAGCCTGAAGTCTAATGTTATTAGAAAAGATCCTATTAAGAGCCATTCCTGGCCACCAATTTATTCATTCAATTCAGCAGATCAGTATTAATGTGATCAGCAAAAGCGCTCATTCATTTTAATAATTTTCTAAGGTTTTTGGCATAATTTTAAGAATTTTCCTCCCAAGTGAGCAAATTATTTGGCACGGCTCGTTCCGATCCTCTTTTGACCTGTGCCTTAAGACCATCTTGCAGATGAAGCTCATCATCTTCACTTTGTTGGTGGGTGCTGTCTACTGTATTCCTGTCGACAATGGGGTAGAAGGTGAACCTGAAGTGGAATGTGGTCCCACAGCGATTACCGTCAACTTCAACACCCGAAACCCGTTCGAAGGGCATGTCTACGTCAAGGGTCTCTACGACCAGAAGGAATGCCGTAACGATGAAGGAGGACGACAAGTGGCTGGAATCGAACTGCCATTCGACTCTTGTAACACGGCCAGAACCAGGTAAATTCAATTTTTAAAGAAATTTCATGAATTTTTGGGAGGTTCAAAATTCTTATGTTTTAGGTCTCTCAACCCTCGAGGAGTTTTCGTCTCAACCACCGTTGTCATCTCGTTCCATCCACAGTTCGTAACGAAGGTCGATCGAGCCTACAGAATCCAGTGCTTCTACATGGAGTCCGACAAGACCGTCAGCACCCAAATCGAGGTCTCAGATCTGACCACCGCCTTCCAAACACAGGTTGTACCAATGCCAATCTGTCGTTACGAGATTCTCGATGGAGGACCATCTGGACAGCCCATTCAGTTTGCCACCATCGGCCAGCAGGTTGGAAGAGAGCCTTCCTGTTGAACTGTTGCTAAAAAACTGTTGCTATCCCATAGTTTTTCATTTAGGTGTACCACAAATGGACTTGTGACTCCGAGACCACCGACACCTTCTGCGCAGTCGTGCACACTTGTACTGTCGACGATGGAAATGGTGATACCGTACAGATCTTGAACGAAGATGGTTGCGCCCTTGACAAGTTCCTGCTCAATAATCTTGAGTATCCCAGCGATCTCATGGCAGGCCAAGAGGCTCACGTCTACAAATACGCCGACAGGTTACCTTTTCACTAGATCCTGAATAGTCCTATTTCAACAAGGGGAAGCGTATGGTCTTGGAAGGAGGCCACCAAAATAACCCTTGGTCATGGGTAGGGCTCAAAAGCCTTCGGGGCTAAATTCGAACCTAAATGGACTTTATTATTTTTCATACGCTTGAATCTAATCCTAACCTTAATTTACCCCTGCCCATTTGAGCGCACTATTATCAATCGCTTCCCGAAACTCGAACTTTCCAGATCGCAGCTGTTCTACCAATGCCAGATCAGTATTTCCATCAAGGTAAGGGAACGACATTAAGAGAATGTATCCATAAAAACGCTTGAAGAGTGAAATTTTAGGACCCTGGAAGTGAATGCCCTCGACCACAATGCGCTGAACCAACTGGTTTCGGAGCCGTCAAGCAGGGTACTCCTAGGACTGATGCGGCCGCTGCCGGTGCAGCTGCAGGAGGTGGAGCAGCTCCAGCAGCTGGAGCAGCTCCAGCAGCTGGAGCAGGCGGTGCTGCTGGAGGAGATGCCGCGGGAGCTGCTGGAGCTGTTGGAGCTGCCGGAGCTGCCAGAGGAGCTGCAGCTGGAACGGTTGCTGGAGCCGCACAGCTGAGACTGCTCAGAAAGAGACAAGTCAACAATGAGGCTATTCTGGATGTACGAGCTGAAATTTCGGCCCTTGAAATTACCGACAACGTGAGTTCAGCAGCATTTTCTTCAGGTTTTCTTACCCACCAAAAAAATTACCGTTCCAGGAATCGCTGCCATCGTCACTGCGGACTCTTTTGCCAGCTGCCCTCGTCAGCAACGACCGTTACGACTCCTCCGTCTGCCTTTCACCACTCTCATTCGCTGCTTTCATCGGTCTCGGAATCCTTCTGGCCACTGCTCTCTCGACATTTGTCTTCTACTTTGCACGACCCCATCACAAATATTGAACTGGCCCAAACAGGTGACTACGGTTGGTAATCAGTGCTCACCGTTTACAGTGTTCTTTCACTTCACAATACCTCACTCCACTGCATCGCGGCCAAGCGCGGCTTCTCTCTTTGACTGCTGCATCGAGTGGACGACGCCCGTCCGCTCATATCGCCCTCTCTGGGTGTCGTGCAATAAACCTGTTCGTAGCGAATGAAGATTTCTATCTCAAAATACAGCATTTTCAATTACAGTCTACAGAAAACACACTGCACTCGCATGCACACCTGCACAGTGTCTGAACTTTTTTTGGTTACACTTCGCCCTTCGAACACGTTCAACGAAGTGAGGCTTCTATAAACTGGTTGACGTGCCTCACCGTGTCCGCTCCCAGCTGTCCTTTTTCGTATTCTGCCGATTCGGCTTTTTCGAGTACTCCAAACTTCAACTCCAGAAGAAACTCTCAGTTGAAACACTACACAGAGACACTAACTCGGGTGCGACGATCTCCTTGATTCCATTGCGACGTGGTAACTCCGAAGTAACATCCTAGCCCATAGATTACACTCAATGATTTGATTTTGCAAGGCAGGGAAGTTTTTCCAGTTTTTCCAGCCACGTGATGGTTATTCTTCTCTCCACCCGAATATTCGGGCTGCAGAAGGGGTCTGAAAACGTCCAGCTCTAACGAATTGGCAAACGACTGCCATTTAGCTTTCATTCGCAATTGAAATAGCCTTCGATGTGCGCGGTAGCTTGCGAAGTGTTGTACGAGCCCTTACTCTAACCTGAGGCTTATCATCACATGGTGTGATATTTTTCCAGAACCCCGAAATTTCTTGTTTGGTATCACCACGCACAATTCCCTGGCGCAATTTGTCGAACGGGGGCATTTTGCTTTCCAAAGATGTGTCGACCCATCTAGGCAACCGTTTCTCGAGTTGACACGTTTTAAGGTAGTGGCTAGACGATCTTACTTCGGCTTCACAAGAGTTCGCAAGTTTACCCAGAGTGAGATTTGTAAACCGGAACTAGGAAGTCAAACATGATAACAAATGCCCCACCCCGTCGAGCAAACAGCGCCCGACACACCGCCTCCTTCCTAACAGCTACCTTGCCAAACTTTCCCAACCTGAAGGTAGTGGCAACGATGGCTGTGGGCATGCGGTTATTGCCAACGTCACTGGTGGAAGCGCTAAATGGCGAGTGGCCAAAACGCTCTGTTGCAGTCCTTCCACCAATGACGTTGGCAGTAACCGTCCGCCCCCCGCCATAAGGCCCACTGCCTCCAAAATGTGCACAACATGGTTCGCCTGTTGAATGAAGGATTTGGTTCAGAAGTGGAAGCACAATCAGGAAAGCTCGACCTGAGACTCCGGCTTGACTTCACTTCACCTGCTGTGGGGACATCGGAGTACCGATGGCTTCCTTTGGGAGGGCTGCATCCATAGAATAGAAGGGTCAGACCTCGACGCACTCAAGGGAGAAGATTATACAAAGTCTTCAGTAGTTATCACAATCATAGAATATAACCGATGGGTTCTTCGAATATCCTGTCCTGTTCAAAGGAAAACAATGGGCCAGGAAGGGGCAGTCACTGCACAGGGCGAACAGGCTAGGAAATCCTCCCTGATATACAAGCCCACTATTATCAGACATGTGTTCCAGACAAGACAGCCATTAATCGACCGAAGAGAGCACGATGGGAACGAAAGGATCGAATAAATTTCACAATTGTTAGTGACCTCTTTCTCAAACCCTATTCAGGAGGTGATGTGGGCCCCTCGAGAGTAGTTAGCTGCGATTTGCTACGTGACAGGGACAATTGCGGGCATTTCTGGCGCCTGACCGCGACACTGGACAGCCAACGGAAGGACAGGTGACAGGTGAGGTGATGGTTTCTTGGATGGATGAGCCACGTTGTGATCTTGTGGGATGGTACAAGCAAAACTTGCTGCATCACACAGCGACGGAAATGATCGTACTAAAACAACGCTCAGAGCGAAAAACACATTTTTCTCTTTAACTTTTTCTCTTCAACTCTTATCTTGCAAAAATAAACAAATGAATAAGCTGAACAAATGAATAAATGAATAATAAATGAATAAACAAGTAGTCATAAACAGCATGTCTGCTAGACAGGTGAAACTAAAAAAAGCAAAAAGAGTCAACAGTAGAAAGCTTGAAAGTAGAGTAGGGACGGTCCCTTGGTTAGGGACCTATGCAAAAGCAGTGAGTCTCGCGAACTGTGAAATATTCATGTGGCCTGAAACGTAAATTTTTCGGGAATTCCACTGGTTCAATGTGGAGTTTAAAGTAGACTACTTCCGAAGAAGTCATTTCCCTCGCAAGGACAAAATAAATACCATAATACAGTGATAGTAGGATGGAGTGTCTTTTTCCAAGTGAGTGAAATGCCCAAAGTTCATTCTTTTCCTAGAAGGCACTTGGAGTAACCCTTTGGTGGCTTGCTCAAACCGCTTCTTATGGGAAATATGAACATTTAATGAATCTACTTGCTGGTCATCTCATTATCGTCGAAGAAGCACAGTGGAAGGTACAAGTGGTACGCATGATGAAGAGCTGAAAAAACCGCTTTTGCCTATCCTTAGTTCCCGCTGCTCAGATACCTACCGTAATTCGTTGTTTTACTTGTTCTGTTCTGTTTTGACGAATTTTTTAACTTAATCATCTGATAGGTGCCTCTACCGGTCACCCCGTGAGGTCTGGAAGTATTAGCTTCAGCACCATATACTCATTCTCCAATGACTCCCCTCTTTAGATAGATAAAGTCGGTGGAAAAGTTGTCATTTTCGAGCTGGAGTACGTCTCTCTTCATCATGGATGCTATATAGGATAATGACACAATCAGGGCACGGTCTGCTGCTCGGGGTTATTCTACAGTACCCTAGATATCCCCTTCTGTGATATACGCCCACGTCCCTATTCCCAATCCTACCACACTTTCCTAAATCCTTCTTAGCTTTTCACCCACTTTTTCGGAGTTTTTCCGAAGCTTCAAGAGGAAATTTTCTAGTTTAACTGAAGTAATTTGCTGCCTGAGCAGCGGGCGTGTGAGGATGGAGTTGGGAAAGAGAATAGATCGCTAGCAACCAGCTACTAATAGTTTACTAGTTCCATTTATCAGAAATAGATACTGTAGAGAGCTTTGACAGCGTCACCAACTAGGAGAGGAAAAGCACATGAAATGCCCTGGCAAACGCGGAACAATTGTTTTTCCCCAACGCCTGCAAATTTTTTGAAGCTTCATACCGGACCTCCCCCTTTATATGCGTCCGTGAAAATACGAAAAACCACTACAAGGGAATTTCTCGGGCTAGAATACACCCCCCTCCGTGGCGAATCCCTCAACGTGACGGTCTGTATACACGTTGGCATTGTTGAGGAGTAAATACCCAATGTGCTACTCTTTCTATCAGTGGTAGCTCTTTTTGCTCTTCTACTTTTCATCTAAAATGAAAACCCATCGAGATCGCAGCACTCGGACTCCTCCAAACTATTTCTGTCTAACACCCAGGGTCGCGGTGTTATGAGACTGACAGTGCTAAAAATAAAGGAGTGGATAATGACGATACCCCAACTTATCGGGCACAATCTTCCATTGATGTCACTACTCAAAGCAGGGAGGCCAGGCTTTAAAAACGAAGTGACGACTGGGTGTCATCTTAACTCACCGGAGTATGCTGCTGATTCTCTTGGCCAGAGCAAAAGCGAGGTCGAAGTCGTCGGATTAGGATGAAACACTATTACAGACCAAAGCCAAAAATGAAAGGGCCAGACGGCATTTCCTACACGCTAGGCCACACCGATGCTCACGGATACAGCTGGATGGCTATTCTCCAGCACTGTTATAGCCGAGATTTTACTCCTTTGGGACTACTGGTTGTTTTGTAAGCTAACTAACAAACTACAGGGAGCCAAAAAAGACTTTTTCCTCCTCGACTTTTCCTCGACTTTCGAGGCGCTATAAGTTACACTTTATTAAATTCTTATCGGACATTTCTACCACCATATTAAAGAGCATATTAAATACTATCATGATACTCCGCCACAGCCTTCTGGAGGAGCGCCATCGAGAGATTCTGCCACGCAACCATGGTTCGGTGCCTGAGTTCAGCGAGATAGTTGTTGATTTCTCTCCACTGTAGACCACCCTATTGAACTCCGTTCCGAACGTGGAGTGGGTTCAGGTCCAGGTTTACCTGCTTAGATTACTGAACCTTCTTCAGTACTCAACGAACTTCCTACTTAAGTAGGCCAAGCTTTTCAACGCCCTTTGATATACATGTGTGTGTCACCCAATCCTGTAGCAGTACAAAGTTTCCAAGAAGGTACGGGCGACGACATGTGGAGAGGATATTCTTCTCGAGTTGCTCGATGTAACCGCCAGCGCTCACCTTCAGTCCGGGGTCCACGAAGAAAATATTGGTCTTTCCATTATCAAGACGTCCGTCCCACCATCAACTGGCGCCTTGGCGACTGAGGTGAAGATGATGTCCTAGACCGTAGCGACGTTGTCGGAGCTGCTCGATGATGGAGGTCTTCCAGATCGAGAGTATGGTCTCCAGGTAGCTATCCATGGGTGACTCCATACTAGAAGTTTCCGCCAGCTGCTTCGGAAGGTGACATGATTCGAAGGTTCTTCTCCAGTCAGGCTGCGACTGGAGATGACTCATATTTTGGTGTACATGAAGGTGATGGGCGAGCGCCAGCTCCTGCTTATAGAGGAACATCTTGGGTATCTTCCGCCCTGGTACTCGTACCCACGTCCTCTGTCTGGGCTGCGAAAACTTTGCTGATATGTGACTCGGTCGAAATGTCTTTTTTGCCCCCCCCCCTGTAACTTATGAGCTAATATGGAAAAGAATGGCGTCAGATTCGAGCCCAAGTCAAAATCCGAGACGGACCCCAACTTTGTTGTTACTAGGTACTCGGTTAAGAAAGCGATGGCATCCGCTGCCTTGCCGTAAAATGCTGGCGATACGCCGCTGAGTAGGCG